TTCAACATATGATTGAACAAAAATGGATGATATTTTTCCCTTCAGAAAGAAGTTTTACTCTAAAGGTAGATTCTTTTGTGAGAGAAGCAATCGTAGGCTTCCTCCGAGTGCTGCATTGGTATATTTTTCAGTTTAGTGCAGCAAGCAAGATTCCTCTCTATTCTAAATGGAATAATAAAATGTTTGAGCTATTTCATTCTTGCTGTTCTTTTGGGGAAACAATTATCAGCTCTATGATACCATATTACATTCATCTAGAAATTTTCTGTAGCTGACATTTCCAGGCTCATTTTCCTTATGACTTTACTTACAGCAAATTAGTAGTTATCAATTTGATCTTGATTTTAATCTTTCACCAAATTAGATTTCCAGTGATGTGACAGATCTAATGCTCCACATATGTGAATATTTCAGCACATAAGCATAAAAGCAGCCATGTGTTTAAATCTTGTTTATACTGGCCAGCATTTCTCATCAGTTTATTCAGAATGAAATCTAAATGTTAAATACGTATTTTGTTCTCTCATACATTTTCATGTAAAATACATGTGGAAATTGCCTTTGCCACTAGCAACAAATTCTTTCTGCCAGGGTATAAAGGAATCCACCTTGATAAACCTTGTGAAATATTTAAAGCTACTTACAGCATAGATATGCTAAAAAACTTCAGGAAAACAGCAGAGTGGGAGTTGCTTGCTTCTTTTCTCTAGCAAACCAAATAACCTCACATAAAAGCTAATTGGACGCACCTAAAATGTTTAATATTTATAAGTTAACAGTGTGTGCAGAGCCTGAGTGCCTTCCTTTTCTGGTTCGTTCAACATGCTTTTAGAAAAGTATTGAATAAATAGGTTCATTTTGTACATGATACTGAGTATATTCAGCTTGCATGGACTTCCATGGGAGTTTAAGAGCTCAGTGGAAACAAACTCTCTTTCTTTAATTGAAAGTGAATTCATTGAAATCTTAATTATGAGTATTCTTTCACACTGATCTGGGTTTTTTAAATCTCTCTGCTGGCTGGCACATTCCCATGCAGAGGGGCAGGAGTAAGAGTTTGTTCATTTATGTGACTTTCTGCCAACAGATGGGCTAGTTGACTGTATGGATCCTGACTGCTGTTTGCAGAGTTCTTGCCAAAACCAGCCTTATTGTCGTGGACTACCTGATCCCCAAGATATCATTAGCCAAAGCCAACAGTCGCCATCTCAGCAAGCTGCCAAAGCATTTTATGACCGGATCAGTTTTCTCATCGGAACAGACAGCACCCATGTCATACCTGGGGAAAGTCCTTTTAATAAGAGGTGAGCATGACTCATCATTTACTCATGAATACAAAAGAAATTGGAGTGTGTGAGAATCACGTGAGGAGAAGATCACTGTGACTGCAAATTTCATGGTGTGGACTTTGAGCAAAGACCTTCTCTCATAATATATCAAACTGCTTGTTTTGTCTCATTTCCTGCAAAATTCAAATTACCAGTGCCAGTAGGTTACAGAAGGTACTTGCCATGCTTATTGTCTGTATTCTAGCAGGGCACTTCATTAATGATTAAATAAATCTTTATTTAACCAGTTGATTTGGGCTAGCACAGTTGGAAATATATCAAAGCAATGAAAACACTTCAGAAGGAAAAGCAAAGCTGCACTTTTTAAACTGAGCTCACTAAATAATATAAATTATGAATTAATGTAATAGAACTGTTAAGTGCATGACAGTATAATTGCATAAACTATTTGACTGGTGCTCTGTGAAGCAGTAATGACCTGAAAATAAACCAGTAACAGGAAGCAGGTGTCTGGGATCTCACGGAGTGAAAGAAGATGATTTATACTAGAACTACTGCGTTTGCAGTAATTTAACAACATTAATGTGTTTGGGCACAGCAGTTGATTAAAAGTTGTTGCACCAATGTTCCTTATTGCTCTTTTAAATTTTGTACTTCATAGTCCCTGCAGTTTTACAGATTGCTTTGATACTAATTGAAAAGTATGTTTTTCTTTAAGAGTCTGCCAGAGGTATGACTTACAGTGAGAACATCTAGAGTTTATAAGTTCTTAAAATTTTTCAGTGAATTTCTGGTCTTAGTAACTCAGTACTGAACAAATAAACCAATGCAAAATCAACAATACTGAAAGAAAATTATTATCTGTAGATTTTTGAGGCATTTGTTTATACAATGTAAATTAAGTGAACTTGTAAAAGGGTTAGAGTCTCAGGAGAGTCAGGAGAGTTGATACCACGCAGAGAGGGGTGGGTGGGTTGGGGGTGGTGTATGCATGTTAAATCACTAGTTTTTATTCATTCAAAAGAGAAAAAAGAAAACAAACTTGTGTTTTGATCCTGCATCTTTTTCACAGTCTTGCATCCGTCATAAGAGGCCAAGTATTAACTGCTGATGGAACACCACTCATTGGAGTCAATGTCTCCTTTCTACACTATCCAGACTATGGATATACAATCACTCGCCAGGATGGAATGTAAGCTCCCTTTGAAGCACTTCTAAGTCATAAAGACAGCAAAAGCATTACTGAAGAGCTGCTTGTAAAACTAAGATAATAAAATAATGGAAACAAAAGACATTAACAAAATGATTGACTAAAGTTGTGCTTTGAACATTCTTCAAACGTAAAACATGCTGATTGCATACTTTAGAAGGGCTTGCTTAATTTAAATGCAGCATCCCAAACTCTTCGTTCTCTCAGTGTGGTATTATGTAATATAATCTAATTGATTTCTTCATTGTTCCCAGTAGAGCCATTGTGCCTTCAGAAAAGTACAATGGAATGAAGAATCAATCCATAAAATGGAGGCTGTGGATGGCTTTGGGAATTTGCTGACTAGCTGGCCCTCTTGGGGTTGTTTTTTTCTAGGTTTGACTTGGTAGCAAATGGTGGTGCCTCTCTGACATTGGTGTTTGAGCGATCGCCCTTCCTGACGCAGTATCACACAGTATGGATTCCCTGGAATGTCTTCTATGTCATGGATACCCTTGTCATGAAGAAGGAAGAGAATGACATTCCTAGTTGTGATCTAAGCGGATTTGTAAGGCCAAACCCTGTTATCGTGTCATCACCTTTATCCACCCTCTTTAGAATTTCTCCTGAAGACAGTCCTATCATCCCAGAGACACAGGTAAGGTGTGCTTTAAATAAGAGTTTTATCACAGGCTAGTATAAAGCAACTGTAAAACAAGTGCAAACTACTGTTCAAAAATAAATAATTCTGTCTTAGTGCTAAAAATTTGCAACAGGTGATTATTTTCAGACCAATTTATTTATTCTATGGGATGATTTTTGAAATTTCATCTGAAAAAAATGAGAGCTGGGTGTACACCAGGTGCTGGTTTTATATTTGTTTGCATCACTTGATTTACGGAATGTCTTCAGCAGTTAGGCACTGGCCCATTAAAGTGGACGCACTACAGTACATCTGAGTTTTTGGCTTGCCCTCTTGTTACAAGTGCACCTCAGAAACTGAAAATGAAAGGTGTTTCTCTACTATGTCTTAAAGATCCTTACAGTTTAATTTATCTGTTTAGTCCTAATAAATAGCATGGCACACAGATTTTTATAAACTTAAAAGAATTCTCTGCAACACTGAGGACAAGTCAATGAGCATGTGTTCTTATCAGCTTCTTCAGAACTTGTAATGCTGAAAGTAAGACTTGACATCAAAATCTTGATTTAAATGGAAGAAGCTGTGGCTGGAATGGTTTTTTTTCTTTTCTAAGATAGGTGTATTAGATTCCTCCATCTCAAATAAAGAATCACTAATACAGTGTTTAGTCTCTTAGCTCTCTTCAACTGAACTGCATTTCAGTTGCATTTCAAAAAGTAATACTTGTCTCGTTGATTTTTGAACTCTTCCTAGTGAAAGTGCTCTTTCTGCCTCCCTCTTTTTCTCCCTCTTCTTTCTCTGTTTTTCTCTACCCTACCTTTGCAACATCATAATTACATAGGGTACTCTTTTTCCCTAAGAAATGTCCTTGCCTCTTCAAGGGAACCATAGAAAATGTTTTTATGCAGAGCTCTTAAGCAAAGAGCTAAATCATTAAGCAATTCATGGTAGGAGCAGGTTTAAAAGAAAGATGTAAGGAAAGTGCAACTAAACACTCATACAAATCTAGACTGTGCTAGAAAATTGTTGCTTTTATCCTATCATTTCTGTGTCTTTGATATTTGCTAGTCAATTAAAAGAAAGTATTTGCAAAACAGTCCACTGAAAAACAGCTCTGATTTACTTGTTTTGGCAACAGATGATAGATTCAGTTCCTGAAATGATGGAAAATGGCCTAGATAGATGGCATATAAATCAAGAAAAAAGTAATAATAGACGAATGTCAGAAAATGCATATTTTCAAAAAACACTTGCAATGTCTGAGTAAGCAAGTCAGTTCATGAACAATGGGACTAATGAAGTCTGGATTCCCACTAATTCCCACTCATTGCTGTAATTCCAGCTGTCTGTCACATCCAATCCTGCCCCCACGGACTGCATACTGCCTTTTTTTTTTTCAAATGGGTGTACCAACTTGCCTAGTTCTTCCTTACCTGAACCTTTTTTTTAATAAACCTAAAGGAAATTTATTATCTTTAGAGATTTCTACTGTTATACTACCAGGTTCAGAATTTGTGAGGTGGGAGGTGTGATAGGCAGGACTTGTTGGGTCAAGTTGATTTCCCTAAGAAACTAGCTAGAAGGAAAGATCACTTTCTCAGTGGATCCTGGGCAGTTGGTGCTGATGGGTCATTTATGATGAGGTAAACTCATAATGTTACGAGTTATGTTTTGCATACATAACTCTTGCAAAAAATCCAGTTCTGGTACTGTGTTAAAAAAATCAAGTAGTATTTTGTTCTATATTCTTTGCTCATCCTACACAAAATTTCTTACTCCAGCAAGTGGGAGCTGCACATGCATGGCTGGGACATCCCCCTTCAGGGTCAGGTTCCCCTCAGAAACGCATAATGCTCAACAATCTGTCTCCAAAAAAATTCACTAAACTGATAAAAGATGGGCAGAACCAGATACCATTCAAAACCATATGTTCAGCTCCAGAGGAACTGCTGTAGATCTATTCATAAAAACAGGGGCAATGCCAGTTGGAAGTGTGGGAGACTGGATGAAGGCACAGAGAAAGAAATCATTCCCCATGTTCCTTCAATCAGTATTAGTCACCCTGTTCGTGTGGTGTGACAGCACTCACTATCACGTAGTACAGGAGAAAATGATGTGCTGCTGTAATCATCATCCCTTGAAGTGCTTCATCATCCCTTGGAGATAATGTTTCCAAGAGTGTACTTAGTGGCTTATGAATCCCAAATTGATCAGAGGGGAATTAAAGTCTGTGCCAAAGAAGCAGCAAAAAGGAAAACTGAAAAAAAAGAAGACAAGCAAGAGGAAAGAACAAATGCAGTGGGTAAAGGGGTGATCACAGACCCAATAGGTCATTACTCAAAAGGGTTATAATAAATAGCATCGTCACTAAATTTGGATTACTTACACATGACTTTGCCTAATTTTAATTGCAAGTTACCGTGCTTTGCCTAGACTTAACTAGCTGAGATTAATCAGTGTGGAACAAGACAGTAAACTGCATGCAGATGAGGGAGATCAGGTTAAGCTGGAGCTGCTTCTGTGCATTAGGTAATATTGTTACTGTCTTTTTCCTAATACAATAAATGTCTGTTTGCCACATATTGCCATGTGGTCTGGCAGAAACCCATGTGAGTCACAATGAGCACTTCTGAAATTGAGTATTTGAGGTTTTCCTTCTCCTAAACTTGTTACATATGCTTGGAAGATGCCTTCTGCAGGTCCCAAGCAGCTTGTTTCTGTCACCTCAAGTGTGTGGGAGAATGAAGACTGAATGTTTTCCTTCACATTACATGTTCAGGGTTCCTCTCCTCAGAGTTACTCTCACTACTGGCAATCCTATACAGCAGAAGTTGGCAAAATTTATCTACCCAGAGGAATTCAGGATGAAATATGGGCCTTGATGACTTAATAAAAATGATTGTTGGCAACTTCAGCATGGCCAGATTTTCAGCCAATAAATTGCTCCATCTTGAAACGAGCAGTTTCAACTTCTGCCTACAGTATAATTTTGATACTCCTTAGTCACAACCTGTATGTAATAGCAGTACTTGCCAATATGTAGCTGTATCTAAAAATGCCATCTTTACCCCTCTCAAACCAAGATGATGTTACATTTTAATGCAGCAGTTCAGGTTTTACATCTCAGCAAACAAACTTTTTCTGACTTTAGGACTAAAGTTTGCAATAATTTGTCAAATTTGTCCTCAAATCTTCTATTGAAGTTGCTCAATTTGCCCCCAAAAAAATCACAGCAATACAGCAGGCATTTCCCCCCTAACTGAATTACTTACTGTTCTTAACACCATCAGAGCATGTCACTTGAATCATACTATATTTTGGAACAGGAAAGCATTCCAGAGCCTGGACAGCTTTCATCCTCCTGGCCACACAATTTATGTGACTCAGACACCAGCTTGAACTCTCAGGACAATAAACTCTGTCCTTGTGAAAATTGAGGTGCCCCTTATCTCAGTCCCCTAGGTTAAAGGTTTCATAGCTGTCCTTCCAAGAAGCTTGATCTTCCGTAAATAAAATGTGAACCATTAGAATTTGGTGGTTGGGCTATCACTCCCCTTAGGGTATCAGCCTTTCTGAAGATAGTTTGATACTCTATCTGGAAAAGGTAAAGTACAGGCAGCTTGGTTGTGTTGGCAATTTCTGATGTGACTTTTATACCCAGTGACTTCCCTGATTGCTTTACAATTGATGTGTTCTCATGGCTCCCATAGGATGCTCTCTGCTGTGCCTGATGATTTAACTGTTCAGATGAACATTAAACTGTTTAATTCTCTTTGTAATGGTTGATTCTGGGAGAGAGATTGTGTTGCATAACCTTACCTTTACATTTCTAAAGTTCTCAAGAAAATAAGGTACTGCAGGGGATATTTTATGGAAAGAAGGAAGTTATAAGTCAGATTTCCAGCAGGTATTTGAGGCTTCTGCAGAAACTAATAATAGGGGTTTGGGGTTTGTTTTAAACCTCACTGAGAACTGCATGAGTGTCCTAGTTTCTAATTTGATAGTAATCCAAATACACAGTGGAATTTCTTGAAAATTGAAACTTCAAGGTGTCCTCTTTATTGCCTGTTATCTCAGCCAAGAGTACTGGAAGACCACCTATGTGTTTAACACTGCTCTTCCACAGTTGCAGTTGTAAAAGAAGCAATGGTCATAACAGGAGACCAGTGAAGTCCATTAAATTGTGTCCTATTACAAGTGTATTATTTCTTTTTCTCCTCTTGCTTACAGAGACCTCCATCTGTTAGACTAGTTTTAATGTGTACTATATGAGAGTCCTGCTGATGTCTTGAGGAGGAATTTGTCTTTTGTTCCTGGGTGGTTTGTGCTTTCCCTTCGAAGTCCCAGAAAAGGAATGTGTTCACAATCAGTTATCTCTCTAGAGAGAGGTTTTTTTGTTCATGTAGAAAAGATTTGCCTGTTCTCTGACTTAGATTGCTGTTCTCTGTATGTATATTGGGCTGATGGAAAGCAGACTAGATTTCCAAACAGAAATTAGGTCACTCTCACCTCCTTCAAGGTGATGGTAGTGCTTGTCATTTCTTCTCAGCGATGGCAGGTTCTCAATGGGGAACAAAGAAATATTTAAAGAATAAGAATTCAGAATTTATAAATCTAAATTTCCTTTGTCTAGTATCTTTCAATTCCTCCTTTATTTCCTACAGCTCTATTATAGTCTTACTGGAGAGTATCAGTTTCGTGTCTACATATATCAGATGTAAATAATTGTTATGTCAGACAATGAGTCAAAGTACTATATCTGATTTTTTGTTCCTGTTGTTGGAAAGGAGATAAAGATAATTAATACTGTATAAATCTTTCTTAAGATCCTAGCAAAAGTGCTAACATTGTCCTCCTCAAGAGCATAAACCACATTACTTGACCTTATTCAACACAGACAGTCAATTGTTTAGAAGCAGCATCCAAGATTTTCTCTAGCACAGAGAGCTAACAGCAGTTGTTTAGTAGCCAGCTTTTGATCCCACTGAAGTGTTAAGCCTTGTATTTGTGACAGTGTTCTCCCTGAAGTCTGCTTTCCCCTAATGTTTATTAGTGTTTGGTCTTCAGACTTTAGGACTAGGAAACAGAAAAGTAAAATAAAGCTTCTCAAATTTACTTCCACAGGAGTGTTTCTGTAACACCACCAAGGTTCTGGGCTTCTGCTTCAGCATCCTTTGCCCTTTCTTTCCTCCAGAGAAACATTACCTTTATAAAATTGTCTTGATAAATTTTTCTTCCTTTTGTTTTTTTTTGCAATAAACCAGGATACTTGGTAGCTGTTCACCCAAAGTGTTGGCTGCAGTGTTTATGTTCTGACTGAGGCATAGGACAGTATAGGCTGTCTTCGTCCACATTACACAGAAACATTTCACATCCATCCATCACCCACAAAAGCTCCTCAGCTCAGAGGAAAAGATAAGGTAGAAGAGGGGAGGAACCTTTTAAATACACGATTGAATTATTGCACCTCTGTGAAATGTGAAAATGGTAGGCTGATGTCTGACTAGTGAGTATTGATCAGAAAATAGGGAAAAACTTTCCTTGAGGCACCCTGCTTATCTGTCTTCAGAATAAAAGGAAGAATGCTCTAGTTCAAAGTATTTACAGTCCAGTGGTAATGCAAAAAATAAACCACCTGAAAGTCCTTCCTGCTCTTATAGGAGCAATTAGGCATCTCAAACCAAATCTGAAGCTTTGCTGTCCTTATAGGCTCTACTGCCTTTATGACATATCCATAGTTGGAACATGGGTGGCAACATAAGAAGGAGAAACTTTCACTTAGATGAAGGATGCTTTTTTGCCTCTTTTGGAGAAAGCAGTTGGGAATGGTTTCCCTTTCCTGCATTCTTTATTTCCCCCCATAAACATAAAAGCGATATCTTTGAAATCCTTCAGCAGAAAGTATCAACTAAGCAGCTTTAGTGTAATGAAGAATTTAGATGACTTTTTAGAAAAAAAAGGTGAAATGTTGTTATTTATTTATGTGGTTTTTTACGTTCTTAAATGAAGGCCAGGTGTAGATGATACTTCCTAATGGATGGTCATATAACATCACGTCAGGCATCCTTTTATGATAGCTGCGTTGTTCCATTTCCAGATCACTCAAATTCTGTATTTTTCTCGTACCAATGCATAGGTACTTCATGAAGAAACAACAATACCAGGAACCGATTTGAAGTTATCATACTTGAGCTCCAGGGCTGCAGGATATAAATCTGTCCTGAAGATTACTATGACCCAATCTGTTATACCATTTAATTTAATGAAGGTTCATCTTATGGTGGCCGTGGTGGGAAGACTTTTCCAAAAATGGTTCCCTGCATCCCCAAATCTAGCATACACTTTCATATGGGATAAAACTGATGCGTACAATCAGAGGGTCTATGGATTATCTGAAGCTGTTGGTATGTGTTATGGAGTTTTTTTGCATTTTACTGTTGTCTTGAAAATAGGGAAGCACATCTAAAATGCTTGTATCCATTAAGTAGAAAATGTTTAGCAGAATAAGATGAGAAATATCAATGGATATTAAAACATTAGAAAATACTAATCTAAGCTTTGAATTATGAAAAAAAATTTGCTTCAGTAGGAAAAAGAAAGCACAGTCGTTTTTCACTTCTTCTCCATGAAGTAGCCTCCGGCCCAATAATACAGTATGCACACTCTGTGTTCTTTAGAACACAATAGCATTCTGAATTACATCACAAAATGGCTTTCCTCAGTACGTGTCCTAATCCACTTACTTGTAGTAACAAAAAATATTTTAATGACCCAAGATTGCTTTGGAATTCTGTTTAGTATTTTCAACATATCTAAGGAAGTCATAGGGATTTTCATGTAGCCTATGAGAGAGGAAGAATGAGTGCAGTATAAGGAAATCACATTCTTTAAACTCTTCCTGAGAACAAGATGCAATACTTAATGAGGAAATGTACTGTTATTTCAGTCTCTGTAGGTTATGAATATGAGTCTTGCTTGGATCTAACTCTCTGGGAAAAGCGGACTGCCATTTTGCAGGGTTATGAACTGGATGCCTCCAACATGGGTGGTTGGACATTGGATAAGCATCATGTATTGGATGTTCAGAATGGTAAGGAGTTTGTTTTCTTCTTGCTAATTTTAATCCTCCACTACCCTGCACTTTATGTCTCTCATTTGAACTTTTTGACTATTTGCACTGTTATTTCAAAAAAGGAAAATTACAGAACATTTTGCATATGGTAAATCCTTTGAGTTTCCCCGGCTCCCCAGAGAAGTGGTCACAGTACAAAGCCTGACAGAGTTCAGGAAGTTTGGACAACACTAAGGCACATGGTGTGATTCTTGGGGTTGTCCCGTGCAGGGCCAGGAGTTGGACTCAATGATCCTGTTGGTCTCTTCCAACTCAGGATTTTCCATGATTTTCTGATTCTTAGCGAATGTCATGCTTCTTCATCCTATAAATGCATAAGCTCATCAAACAGTGTCATCCTGTGCAAGATATACTGTGGTGGGTTGACAATGGCTGGACACCAGGTGCCCACCAAAGGCTCTCTATCACTCTCCACCCCAGCTGGACAGGGGAGAGAAAACAGAACAAAAGGCTCATCGGTCAAGATAAGGGTTACTCACCAGTTACCATCACAGGCAAAACAGACTCAACTTGGGTAAACTAGCCTAATTTATTACCAATCAAATCACAGTAGGATAATGAGAAAGAAAAATCTTAAAAGCATCTTCCCCCCGCCCTCCCTTCTTCCTGGGCATAACTTTACTCCTGACTTCACCTCCTCCTCCCTGCCAGCAGTGCCAGGACACAGGGAATGGGGGCTGTGGTCAGTTCATCACACGCTGTCTCTGCTC